TCTTGTGAATGATTCTGAGGTCAATTTTGTTACCTTATACTCTACTTGATCAAATAGGTATAAGATGATCTTCATCAAATAGGTATACCCCTTCTTATATTCAAATCCTACTCAAGCAACTTCCTATGAACAAGAGTTGTCAACCAACTTAAATACCCTCTTCAAATTATATCAAGATACCTATGGAACCAATGATGAGATTTCCCGTGTATCTGAAACTTTAGAAGCAGGATCTAGTTCTGGGTTGGGAAGGAGGAATTTTGAGAGGTTTTTAGAAACTGTTATGGGTAATAGTAATTCAAAATCTGATATTGATTTATATCTTAAGGAGTCTCCCTTGAAACTCCACCCTAAAGCTAAGTTTGATGTTTTAACATGGTGTATGGGGAATAAAGCCAAGTATCCTGTTCTTAGTAAATTGGCAAAGGATATCATAAATGTTTCAGTTACTACTGTTGCTTCATAAGCAATTTTTAGTGCTGGAAAAAGGATTATTAATCTGAAACGATCATCTATGAAAACTAAGACAATTTAAATTGTAGTTTGTGGGGGTGATTGGGCGAAAGAGAAGTATGGGATTAAGAAGGGTTGCACTGCTAATGTTATAAGTAAATTTTACTTATGTCATCTTTAATTTAATATGTATATTGTTTAATATGTCATCTAACTTTATGCCTTTTCATTTGTAGCTTGAGGAACCACAAGATGAACCATTGACATATCATTTTAGTGAAGATCCGGGTGTCGCTTCTTCGACAACTGCAAGTTGAAGATCTGTATTTGCAATGCCAATGATGAGATTGTTCTGAGGCATCATTAAAATATATAATGTTATTTTGTACTTTTTTGAAAACATAAGTTTTATAACTTATGTTTTAACAAGTTTTTTGAGAAGGTGTTGTAATGTAATGTCCTTCCTTATCCTTCTGTAATTTCCTTCCTTTCAATTTCAATGATACAATGTAAATTAAGAATGAAGATTATGAATTTATGAACAATGTAATATAATGCCCTTCATTATCTATTTTACCAAGAATCTAGATTATACATAGTGAATTAAACAATTATGTTATGTGAATAAAGATCGATCCGATTACCTTCTTTTGATCCAGTTACCTGACCAAAAATTATCGATCCAATCTTGGTTCTCACAGGGAAAATGAAGATAATTTGATCCGGTCTCGGTTTACCACTACAAAAGAATATGCAAATCGTGGCGGTTAAAAATGTCATATTGTGGCGGTTTTAACTGCGTAATCAACAACAAAAAATAACGGTTCTAAAAACCCCGTAAACTTTGATGCCGCAAGGAAAAAATGACGGTTTATCATAGGCCGCGGTACACACCGCCGTAATGTTGTAGGTTAAAAATGAAGTTTTTTGGTCGTAAATAACAATGGTTTTAACCGCCATAATTTCCACTTCTTTTACAAAAAAAAATCAAAATATTAACTATTAAAATAAAGTTATTCCTAATACTCTATCCAAAATAAATAATATTAAATTAACAAAACAATCCTTCTAATTTTATTAATAAACCAACAAAATTGACATACATAACATAAACCAGTGTGAATTGCCTAAACAACAACAAAGACAACACAACAATACATAAATCATATCATACTTTACAAATCCAACCAAGTACAACAACTATTAAAACCCTAAATATACCAAATATGCATAGCAGATATGGACATCACCTTGCAATCACTAAAGCCATTGCTGCAGACAAACTATGACAACTTCAGATAAAATAGAACAAAGCAGTTGTATGATATTATTGAAAAAAACATGTTACAACCTCTACCGAACATATCGACTTGAGCAACTATGCACGATAGCAGGTATTGAACTAACACGTGGACCATAGTGAAGTCTCTGCGAAAAAATTCGTGTAAATCACCAGTCGATACAGGACAAACTCACCCTCGACGCAGTAGAGCTGCAATTTGGCAGCAACTCGATCTCTCGAATCAAACTACATGTCAAGAAAAAACTCAAAAAAGTAGCAGTGTAACAGTGCTACCATCGACGTCTCTTAAACATGAGACCGAGAGACTTGTTAACAAAACATTAAATATCTAAGTTTTATATAAAAAAAATTGTTCAAGACACTCTCCAATAAAAAATAATAATGCTGATGACTCCAAACTCACTCTCATATATATACTTCATCGAAACTTCAAGAATTTAAACCGACACTTGATGTTATTCATTTCTATGTCCATTCAAGAACTAAAAACAAAAGAAGTAATTTTAATAACAAGAATTTAAATATAGTGAGTTTTCAAAATCAATCCTAGATACTATTACCTAGATAATAACATAATCCGTAAACCTTTATTTTGAGGTAAGGAAAAACTACAAATTTCAATGGATAGTTAACAAAAATAGATCTCTTACCTACAGGAGAAAAAATCTCAAGCTATGACAACATAGTTCTAATATCTATTGCAAAAATAAAAATAAATTTTACACTAAAATAAGCCTATATTTT